TAGTTACAAACTTTGAACAGCTAAATTTTTACAGGGGAGCCTTTGAGGCTCTTTTTGAGTCTCATATTTCATTTTTGCATTATATGTTGAATATTGTAATGGATAAACAAAAACTCTCTCCAGCAAAAATTATCAGAAAAACAAGATTTTGTTCATTACAGTTTCATTTCAAAACAAATTTTCTTGTTGCATTGTATCAGTTTTAATATGTTGTGATTGGTTTTACTCCATCATGTGGTGACCCTCTATGGATCAGTAGGGGTCAGTAGCAAACCATATCACTTATTACGTAAGGTCTTCAACATTAGACAAGTGTTTATATCAAATGCCAAGGTCTAAATTTCCCATAGCCTAGACAAAAATAGTGTGATACTGATTTCTTTGTGCAACACTTCTGTTTCTAGAATTACAGTCATCAGTAAAACCTGAGACAAAAAGGGTTGAAAAGCCAAAAATATCAAACATTTTTAGAGAATAAAAACCAATTGAGTCTATTAACAGAACATTAAAAATAGTCTAAGGTCATTTTTAATGGAGTTGTAACCATTCTCTAACTTTATCATTTAAATCATGTCAATTCCAAGTCACTGGTTACTTGGTGTATTCTCTCTGGGACTGAAAGTTCATCAGCAAAGGTACTGAATAGTTGTGAATGGATTCATCAAAGACTAAGAAATATCTGGCATTCACACAGATTTCTTTATTCAAATGTAACTTGTTCGTTACTTCGATTTTGATTCAACATACTGTAAATTCAGAAATTATTGCGTGCATTTAATATTGCGATTTTTAGAGAATGGACAAAAATGCGAGATTAATTATTGCGATTTCAGGAAAATCTGCATACAAATATATGTATCAAAAATAAAAATGCGAGTTCTTATTATTGCGATACTCACACAGTCGCATTATTCGCATTAATAAAAACCTCGCAATAATTTCTGAATTTACAGTATAGTCATAATTTTAGGAGGTAAAAATCCATGGTTTACATACTGGAATGCTCTGCACAATGGCTTGATTTAGGAATGTCATTAGAATATGAATAACTCTAATGTAATTTGAAGCTTGCCAAGATCATTCTTACATTTAACAGTTGCAAATATCTTTTTTTTTCAGCTGCACTAATGCACCTTGATGGAGTAATTGCATTCGAATATGAATAACCCTAATGTAATTTGAAACTCGCCAACATCATTCTTACTTTTAACAATTGCAAATATGTTTTTTTTCCTGCTCCACTCATGCTCCACTTATGCAACATCAGGTAAATCAATATTTAACGGTAAAATCAACAAGTGGGATCAGCAAGGGTAAAAATACAACATAGTTATTATGTAAAAGGACATAACACTAAGATATAAGTTAAGTCTACCACTGTACCATCAGCAAGATTCAGATAGGCAAAATTAACATGATGTAGGGTTAGACTAATTTATAATAGGGAATACATTCATTGGTCTATATACACTTAATGGAAACCCATTGGAAAAATAGTAAAACTATCCCTTTGGCACTTAAAGTGAAATAATATGAAATAAGTCATAAATAACTCGACCACTTTTTATCACCACTGGTTGAAAATTCACACAATCCTTTCTGGTGATGTCATTGTACTTTCTGTAAATTTTGGACCCCTGTAATTACAAATGTTATAAAAACAAAGCCTTAAAACGAGGAAACATTTTTATCTGTCCTTGCTACTGTGTCATATGTCCTTATTTTAAAACATTTTGATAAACATACATGTTTTTTTTTCCAATGTTAGAAATAACATTTTTCGTAAGTAAGTACTTTAATATATGTATTATGAAAAAGGTTAAAAATAATTGTTTTGGGAAAAATGAATAATATTTTTCATACATAAATCAAAATTTTGTATGAATAGCTTTATACACAACACTAACATGTTCTTATCTTTAAGAACTACTTTTGAGCTCACCTGGCCTAATAGGCCAAGTGAACTTTTCTCATCACTTGGCATCCGTCGTCCGTCGTTGTCGTTAACTTTTACAAAAATCTTCTCCTCTGAAACTATTGGACCAAATTAGACCAAACTTGGCCACAATCATCATTGGGGTATTTAGTTTAAAAAATGTGTCTGATGACCCGGCCCACCAACCAAGATGGCCGCCATAGCTAAAAATAGAACATAGGGGTAAAATGTAGAATTTGGTTATATCTCTGAAACCAAAGCATTTAGAGCAAATCTAACAGGTGTAAAATTGTTCATCAGGTCAAGATCTATCTGCCCTGAAATTTTCAGACAAATCAGACAACCCGTTGTTAGGTTGCTGCCCCTGAATTGGTAATTTTAAGGAAATTTTGCAGTTTTTGGTTATCTTCAATATTATTATTGATATAGATAAACTGTAAACAGCAATAATGTACTGCAAAGTAAGATCTATAGATAGGCCAACATGACCAAAATGGTCAATTAACCCCTTAAGGAGTTATTGCCCTATATAGTCAATTTTTTACAATTTTTTGTAAATTTTTGTAATCTTTTACAAAAATCTTCTCTGAAACTACTGAGACAAATTTAACCAAACTTGGCCACAATCATCATTAGGGTATCTAGTTTAAGAAATGTGTCCGATGACCCTGCCTACCGACCAAAATGGCCGACATGGCTAAAAATAGAACATAAGGGTAAAATGCAAATTTTGTCTTATATCTCTGAAACTAAAGCATTTAGAGCAAATCTGACAGGGGTTAAAATGTTCTTCAGGTCAAGATCTATCCGATTGAAATTTTCAGACAAATCAGACAACCCGTAGTTGGTTGCTGCCACTAAATTGGTAATTTTTAGGAAATTTTGCAGTTTTTGGTTATTATCTTGAATATTATTATAGATAGAGATAAACTGTAAACAGCAATAATATTCAGCAAAGTTGATAAATTTAACCAAACTTGGCCACAATCATCATTAGGGTATCTAGTTTAAAAAATATGTCCAATGACCTCACCTACCAACCAACATGGCCGACATGGCTTAAAATAGAACATAGGGGTAAAATGCAAGTTTTGTGTATAAATTTTTGAACCGTTATAAAGAAAGAAAATCTGAAAGGAGCAAAAATGTTCAGAATACTGAGTTCTACCAATTGTCCATATACGTCAAAACTGTTTGACAAATTCTTATAGGAGTTATTGCCCATAAATGACGAATTTTACCATTTTTTTTCTTTTTTGCCTATTATCATGAAAACTATGATATTTAGAGAGAAAGATTTTTTTTCCCGTTATGCCTTATATGATTTAAATTATAATAGATAAATAAACACTTTAAATCACAAAAATGAACAGCAAGTTAAGATCTATTTAAAAGTCAAATTTTGCCGATACAGTTAGTAGACTGTCACTCTTCATAGGAGTGATTGCCCTTAAATGAGGATTTTTTTTACCCTCATTTGTGTTTTGAGCAAAAACAAAAGAAGATAGAGAGAAACTAAACAGACTAAAAGATCAGTAATACAAGATCAACAAAATAGAGATTTTTGTCATGATGTCTATTCTCGTCTACAATGCTGGAGAGTGTCCTTTGTTTGATATGCACATAGACCAAGGTGAGCGACACAGGCTCTTTAGAGCCTCTAGTGGTTATTTGTTGAAAAAACTATAAAATGATCCCTGTAATAGCTTAATGTTTTGATCATTTTTAAGTTTATAAAGTGCGGTAGAACTTTTAAGTCTGTGAAATTCAATATGAATTATAGAAGAAATATGTACTGGTAGTCATTTAATGGATATCATTTTTTGTAAGTTGGATAGGTAAATATTTGTTTGTAAACAAGTCATTGCACTTACAATTAATTTCCTTGCATAATATAAGGGACAACTGATGCATGAAAGTGTTATATAAGGTTGAACTTCTTTCAATTTATCCATGCACATCATGCTTAAACAGATTGTTTGCACAAAGATTGGATTATATATAAATTAAAAAAAATAAGGTGAGTTTTAAGGAAGTACAATGTATATCAAAAGTTTAGATTTATAAAATAAATTTATCCTGTTTGCATTCTCAGTAAATCTATTACTCATATTACACCATTCACTGTATGTATTGCTATACCTGACTGAGGAGTCATCTGATATAAGAATAAGAAGATATTGTATGATTGCCAATGAGACAACTCTCCACAAGAGACATAGAAATTAGCAACTATAGGAGCCGTATGGCCTTCAACAATGAGCAAAACCCTTGTAAAACAATTCAAACAAGAAAACTAAGAGCCTGATTTATGTTCAAAATAATTAACGAAGAACAAATATGAGTTTATTTCATTGCTTGTTAGTTGGTATATGAACACTGTATTGTTTTGTTGTATCTGTATCATATTTCTAGCTCACTTGACCCAAAGCATTTGGTGCATTATATAAATTTTATGCAAAAATGTCAGGTGAGCTCCATTGAGCCTCTGGTTCATTTTTCATTATCCCTTTACCAAATATTCTTATATTTGGAATAATTCCAAATGTAAACATTTGTGTAGTAGAAAATCACAAAAAGCTTTAAAAGTTGCACATTTGATTTTATATTTTAAAGATGTCATGCATACGATAATATGTTGACTACAAATACAAAATTTTCTATTTATCTCAGCAATTTGAATTATTATTTGTAGTAAAAACATCAAAATAGGTTTGAAATACCTGATTGAGATTCAACTTTTAATGCAATGTAATACTTTCTCTTTTTGACAGATTTACTTCCCTTTGATGAAGATTTTGTGACACTCCTGAAAGACACTTGAGAATGTAAGTACAGATTAGTTACAAAGAATTTTGTGACATGAATTGTAATTTGTTGGTACAACATGAATTGTAGTGACAGAAGATTGATAGATTTAAATTGTTAACTTTTAATATGATTTTAATGTTTAATGATCCTTAGGTATTTAAAAACTCCCATTTTTATGGCACATTTGTCAAATCGTTTTTATGCAGGTTTGATTTGATGTATTTGTAGCCATTGATGAATGTTTAAGTACTTATGTCTTACAATTTTTAGAATGTTTATTTGTTTTTCCTTTGTTGTTTTTATCATAAATCAGGCTGTTGATTTACTCATTTGATTGTTTCACATATTGTCATGCTAGGACCTTTTAAAGCTTACTATAGGGTATGGGTTTTTGCTCATTATTGAAGGCCTTACAGTGCCCTACAGTTGTTTAGTTTCTTATCCTTTGGTGGATTGTTGTCTAATTTTCAATCATGCCACATCTCAATATTTTCATTATCAGAGAAATTTAAGAAATTGATTATTAAAGGAAATATATATGAAGGGTATAAACATCAATAAGACATTCAATATTAATTTTCAGTTCTAAAATCATAAGGAAATCTTTACACTTTTTGATTGATGATTGTTTACTATAGCAATAACCATGGTTAATAATATTCCTGTATAATTGGCTTTTGAACATAAAAATTGTATTCACCTATTTCTATTGATACATCACAAGTTATCAGTGAAGGATTAATGAAACGAAAGATTAATTTAATATATTCTGATACTCAGTCACAAGACCTACATTAGAGCCTCAGCCAACTACACATTCCCTTATCTGAATGTAGCTATAAGAAAACAGTGAATGCATAAATAGAAATATTGGATTTAAAATTTCCTCATAAATTAATATAATGATTAAATGTCAGTTAAGCATTTACTTCTAAGAGAAATCTATTTATAGGTGTTTTATATAAGGCTGAATATGATCAATATCATTTAGATATCTGGGTATAGATTTGGGCAAATCAATCAAACAGTATTCTGTGTACCTGGACTGAGAGAGCTGGCTGAGACAAACTGAAGGTAGACAAGCTAGGGAAAAAAATCAATACCAAGTCTGACGCAAAGAATTGTGATCTTTCTGGGGAGATGCTCTAAATATACTTTGATGTCGTCATAATCAAAGATTCTGAAATGAAAGGATATATTTTTGATATCAAATATGGTTTTATATGTGAGACCTTTATTTTGACTTTGTTCTGTTGCATGTTTATGTAAATGCTGCATCTGTGAACGTGATTAGGAGATCCCCACATAATCATAAATTGAAGGAAAATCTTTCCAGTGTAATTAGACATGGTGTAGATGGTGTCGAGGACCAGGACAGCTGTTGTATAAACAAACGTGATCAGGTGTTGATGATCACAGCAGACATATTATCTAATTATCCAGCGATGTGCAGTGATGGCTCAGGTAAGGATTTTTTTTGTCAAATTGTGAGTTCCAAGTATCGAAAAATCATGGAGGACTGTCTTCATGAACATGGATGTAGTTCAGTTATTGGTTAAGGCCACTGTAAGACGTTGTTCTTCGTGTGGCTGAATCTGTAATTGATATAGCTAGACTTAACATTCTATGTTTTAATATATATGAAGACAAATTTATGCATATAAAATGGAAAAGTACTAAAAAGACAGGTTAGATTTTGAACAGTGAATACAAATTTAAACTCTATCCATCTGAACAAATGGAAAATTTACTTTCTTGTTTAGATATAATTTCATTTGCATTAATTCAACAAAAAAAGAAAGCAATTTACAGTGTTAAATATGCAGAAATTATTAATGTCTTAATTTTTCAAACGCAAAAATCCACAGTTTTAACTGAATCTGTATAAAAATGATTAAAAGTATTTTGATTGTTACTGGAAGCCGAGTTATGAATTAGACCTTGCAGTACCAGACTTTATTTTTATTTGTCATTTATAAATGATTCAGTGACAAATGAATAAAGGAATTATGAAATATACTATGCATTTGTTCCAACCTGTATTTTTGTGTACTTTCATCAGACTTGAAGAATGACCTCGATCCATAGTTCCTTTTATTAAGCTGAAAGCCTGATAGCTGTAAACAATGCATTTTATTATTTATTTATGATATTGATTATTTATGAATAATGTGTTAACAAGAATTAGGATAATAATAATAGTGATAAAAAAAAAAAGAAAAAAAAAAAAAGGTCTATGAAGTAATTTGTAAACAATGCATTTTGTTATTTATTTATGATCATGATGATATTGATTATTTATGAATACTGTAGTTAACAAAAAGTAGGATAATAATCATATTAAAAAAAAAACAAAACAGGTCACACTTTAAGTTCTATAAAGAAAATTTACGATGGGATATTGGTGTATTATCTGACTGAGAGTGTGACAAACCACATGGATAGCTTTTGTTTCTCTTAACATTTGTTTAGCAGCTGTATGTACATATTTTATGTTGTTTATGTACATGGATCAATATACCTATCAAATTGTTTTATCAAATATTAACATGTCCCACCTGCTGCAGGGGGCATATGATAGATAAAATTTAAAATTACTTGTAAAGTGTAATATCTTGAAGCTGTTTACTCTGAATATTACTGGAACTGTATTCATATAATATTTTTATGTGTTGAATTTTTTTGAACATTTATTTGATTTTTTCAAAACACATACTGTGGATTCATTTATTTTCGTGGGTACCAATTTTCGTGGATTAAAGAAAACTTTCATGTTCGTGGATATTTAATTTCGTGGATTTTCCGAAATCTGCATACAAACCTATTGAAAATGTGTTATTAGTTGAAGATTTGATTTCGTCTGTACTCACGAAATCCACAAAAATTGGTATCCAACGAATAATAATGAATCCACAGTACTGCATAATATACAAAGGCATATAACTTTATAATTATTTTTACAGTGCAGAGAATACAATGTCAAATGATTACAATTAAGTTGATATTAAACAATTCTTACTGTGCGTATTGCTATGTGTTTCTTTATTCTACATTGGCTAGTGGTATAGGGGGAGGGTTGAGATCTCACAAAACATGTTTAACCTCGCCGCATTTTTGCACCTGGCCCATGTCAGGAGCCTCTGTCCTTTGTTAGTCTTGTATGTTTTTTAATTTTAGTTCATTTATATGTTTTGGAGTTTAGTGTGACGTCCATTTTCACTGAACTAGAACACAATTTTATTTAGGGGCCAGCTTCAGACCACCTCCGAGTGCAGTATTTTCTCGCTGCGTTGAAGACCCATTGGTGGCCTTTGGCTGTTGTCTGCTCTTTGGTGGGGTTGTTGTCTCTTTGACATATTCCCCATTTCCATTCTCAATTTTACAATAACTACAGGTATTATCTTAAGAAACAGTTACATTTTCTGCTGCAAACTAATTCATGTGTGTTTTGTTTTATTTAAATTGTAAAATTTAGAATATTGGTTGATTTTTCTGTTTTTTCTAACCCTTTTATGTGAATATAACATAAATAGCAAATATCATTTATATCTTGATAGAAAATATGATAAAAAACATGAAAAAAGATATGAACGTATTTTTAATTTGAAAGCATTATTTAGAGTAAGGCAACAGAGTATGGCAATTGAAAATGTACATGTGTCAAATTAAATTATGAATTTACACAATGTGAGGTTATTATACATGTATATAAAATTTATACAAGAATATAAGGAATCACAAAAAATATTGAACAGTACAATAGACCACACCAAAAGTTGACTCATTTGAAAAAAATAGACTTATAAACAACAACAAATAACAAATAACACATGGTCTAGTTAGCCTGATTTGATACAGGCACAAATTATAGCTCTTCCCCAAACCCATTTCCAGAATCATTAATTAACATGTTAAGCATTATATTTATATGCCCCCGCCGCATGGCAAAGGGGGCATTAAGTGTTACCCTTGACCGTCCCATCTTTCAGTCCGTCCCATTTTCGTTTTTAAAAGCAAGCTTGAGCATGGGCATTTTTGGTTGTCTTATTCTTTTGTCTGCCACACATTTTTAGCTCACCTGGCCCATAGGGCCAAGTGAGCTTTTCTCATCACTTGGCGTCCGTCGTCGGTAACTTTTACAAAAATCTTCTCCTCTGAAACTTGTGGGCCAAATTTGACCAAACTTGGCCACAATCATCATTGGGGTATCTAGTTTAAAAAATTTGTCAGGTGACCCAGCCAACCAACCAAGATGGCCGCCATGGCTAAAAATAGAACATAGGGATAAAATGTAGATTTTGGCTTATATCTCTGAAACCAAAGCATTTAGAGAAATTCTGACACGGGGTAAAATTGTTTATCAGGTCAAGATCTATCTGCCCTGAAATTTTCAGATGAATCGGACAACCCATTGTTGTGTTGCTGCCCCTGAATTGGTAATTTTAAGGAAATTGTGCCGTTTTTGGTTATTATCTTGAATATTATAATAGATAGAGATAAACTGTAAACAGCAATAATGTTCAGCAAAGTAAGATCTACAAAATGGTCAGTTGACCCCATAAGGAGTTATTGCCCTTTATAGTCAATTTTTTACAATTTTCATAAATTTTGTAAATTTTTACAAAATATGTTCCACTGTAACTACCGGGCCAAGATCATTATAGATAGAGATAATAGTAAGGAGCAAGAATGTTCAGTAAAGTAAGATCTACAAACACATCACCATCACCAAAACAAGATTTTGTCATGAATCCATCTGTGTCCTTTGTTTAATATGCACATAGACCAAGGTGAGCGACACAGGCTCTTTAGAGCCTCTAGTTTATTTTATTTTTCGAAGCAACCAGAACTTTCAGAGGAACAATATTTTGTAAAGGTTAGTTTTGGGGAAAAAGTCCAGGTTAAAGCTGCTATAAGTCATAGAAGGATAACATTTTTTTCAGTTCACAAATTTTATATTAATCCTGATCCATGTAATGATTTGGTCATCCAACTCACATATTGAACAAAATAAATCCTTTTAGTAAAAATAAAGGTAAAACAGGCACTGCATATGACTTACATTTCATGCAGACTGACTTTAGTGAAGTTTCGGATTAAGGTCCATATCAAAGCAACTTCATGTTATAGAGTCAGAATACTTTGTCAGTATATAATAAGAAAAATCAATTAAAAAATATAGGCTACTTTATTATTCTATGCATATCTTAGATTCAAATGAAACACCATAATGTTTTTGCTGTTTTCTATGGTCCATATTTGTCGTGCCCTTTGTTCTATGGTCCACATTTGCTGTTCCCCTATGTTCTATGGTCCTCTTGTTGTGCGCTATGTTCTATGGTCCACATTTGCTGTTTTCCTATGTTCTATTGTCCACTTGTTGTGCCCTATGTTCTATGGTCCACATTTGTTGTGCCCTATGTTCTATGGTCCACATTTGCTGTTTCCCTATGTTCTATGGTCCACTTGTTGTGCCCTATGTTCTATGGTCTTCATTTGCTGTTTTCCTATGTTCTATGGTCCACATGTACTGTTCCCCTATGTTCTATGGTCCACATTTGCTGTTTCCCTATGTTTTATGGTCCACTTGTTGTGCCCTATGTTCTATGATATTCATTTGCTGTTTTCCTCTGTTCTATGGTCCACATTTGCTGTTCCCCTATGTTCTATGGTCCACATTTGTTGTGCCCTATGTTCTATGGTCCACATTTGTTGTGACCTATGTTCTATGTTCCACATTTGTTGTGACCTATGTTCTATGGTCCACTTGGTGTGCCCTATGTTCTATGGTCCACATTTGCTGTTTTCCTATGTTCTATGGTCCACTTGTTGTGCCCTATGTTCTATGGTCTTCATTTGCTGTTTTCCTATGTTCTATGGTCCACATGTGCTGTTCCCCTTTGTTCTATGGTCCACATTTGCTGTTTCCCTATGTTTTATGGTCCACTTGTTGTGCCCTATGTTCTATGATATTCATTTGCTGTTTTCCTCTGTTCTATGGTCCACATTTGCTGTTCCCGTATGTTCTATGGTCCACATTTGTTGTGCCCTATGTTCTATGTTCCACATTTGTTGTGACCTATGTTCTATGGTCCACTTGGTGTGCCCTATGTTCTATGGTCCACATTTGCTGTTTCCCTATGTTCTATGGTCCACTTGTTGTGCCCTATGTTCTATGGTCTTCATTTGCTGTTTTCCTATGTTCTATGGTCTACATTTGCTGTTCCCCTATGTTCTATGGTCCACATTTGCTGTTTCCTTATGTTTTATGGTCCACTTGTTGTGCCCTATGTTCTATGGTCTTCATTTGCTGTTTCCCTATGTTCTATGGTCCACATTTGCTGTTCCCCTATGTTCTATGGTCCACATTTGCTGTTTCCCTATGTTCTATTGTCCACATATATCAGCAGCCGCTTAACACTTACAATGTATGATACAGGTGTTACAAGAGAAACATTTAAATA